TRCTACTMMTCATRRTGSTGGGGGTGGTGGGGGTACTGCTCTGGTGCTGAACTAGTACTGCTTCTTGGTCAAKTTAGACAAAAAGAAAAGGGAKAGAATGCTCCATTGATGCCAGTTTTTAGAAAGTTTGGATTCTTGACAGCCACATTATGACTTGRCAGAGCAGGTGAGTGTGCATGCTCACAGTGCTTGGATACAACAACAAGAAGGAAACAAAATGACACTGGAGTCCGTACTAGTCAGTTTTGAATTGGGGTCTGAGGGTAATTCACAAATGACTAGATTTTGTCAATCTATGTGTCCTTTTGTCTGTCTGTCTACCAAATCTGGACAATCTAGATTGACAGGCAGGAATCACCCAATATTTTATCACCTACGTCCGAGAACTGTTTCTCGACCCACCTCAAGGTTGTATATTTTCGTATTCCRTACCKGTCTGTACCACCATTTTGTTAGGGAAAATAACACAGKATGAAAAATTCCTAACCCGACTCACTACCTTCATTTTATATTACATTTTTTTAATTTTTCTGTACACTGTCACTGGAAATAATTTCAATAACRAATATTCCGCTTGATCATTGTWTATWTTTTKYKCWWWTTTTTTTWAATTCCAGGGTGTCGTGACTGGAATAAATTGTTTGGTTTGAAATCTTGAATGTGTCATGACTGGAATAAATTGTTCAGTTTGAAATCTTGAGGGTGTGGTGACTGGAATAAAAAGTTTAATTTTGAAATTCTTGAGGTGCATAACTGGAATAAATAGTTTGGTTTTTAATTTTGAATGTATTCGACTACTGGAATAAATAGATTCAGTTTCAAAATCTTAAGTTGTTTGACTGGAATAAATAGTACTGGTTCAGATTCTCAAGTGTGCAAGGAAAAAATACAGATTTTTATTTCAAAGAATATAATGCGCATCCAATGCCGTCTGAGGACATCATCTGAGGACATCATCTGAGGACATTGTCTGAGAACATTGTCTGAGAACATTGTCTGTTGTATGTCATGTCAAGAAGTGCTGTTATTCCAGGCGGAAGAAACATTTGATGTTGGTTGATGATGTTGTTTGATGATTTCATCTTGATGTCAAGATGCGGGAAGTAATGGTATGGAATGTCAATGTTGTTTTTGATTGTCATTTTCTGGTGTCAAGGATTGCTTTTTCAGATAGGGGATGTCGTCTGAGGACGTTGTCTTAGGATGTTGTCTCAGGATGTTGTCTCAGGACGTTGTCTCAGGACGTTGTCTCAGGATGTTGTCTCAGGACGTTGTCTGAGGACGTCGTCTAAGGACATCATCAAAGGACATTGTCTAGTAAGGACGTTGTCTAAGGATTTCAAAGGATGTTGTCTAAGGATGTTGTCTGAGGATGTCATCTGAGGACGTCATCTGAGGATGTTGTCTAAGGATGTTGTCTGAGGATGTCATCTGAGGATGTCATCTGAGGATGTCATCTGAGGACATTGTCTGAGGACATGGTCTGAGGACGTCGTTTGAGAAAATTCTTTCCCTGCCTTTTCAAGTACTCATTTTTGTGATTTTACTACTAGTATTTAGGTCAATATGACACCAACATGGCTGTTCAGAACCATCAATACATGGAATTACATTGGTACAACTTCATGAACATAGATCGTCTGGGAATGTCATCAGAGGACATTGTCTGGGGACGTTGTCTGGGGACTGGGGACGTCATCAGAGGACGTTGTTTATGTAAAAAAACAAATCAATCTGATTTACTGGTCTGGTTGTCAGCAAGTGCCATGTAGAAATCTGTGCATTTTAAATGGGGCTGGAGGTCCATCCAACCATTTCTAGTACTACTGGTAGATCTTGAATTTTGCAAATATTGTCAGGTCCAATTTATACTTAGTCAAATTAAGTGAAAAAGGCAGGAGTTTTCTAAATGGGGAGTACTTCTGTCAAAGAGGGATGATTTGTGAATTTAGAGCTAAAACATTTTATTCCAAACCGGAAAAGGTCGAGACTACCCGCAAAGGGGGTTGGGAATATAAAATTTAGGGTATGGAGGGGTGTATACTGGTACAGAAACAGAGTACGGACGTAGTAGTACTACTAGTAGTACACTACATTAACCAAAATGATGGAACCAGCAACAAAYAACAAAAACACCAAGAAGAAGTGCATGGATATCATTTAGTAATCATGTTGGTTAATTTTTTACATAACATACTATACGAAAACAAAAACAGTGGTAGATTTCATAGCTTATCATTTGTAATTGTATGGTTTACCTATTTTGTGTAGCTATTACCAGCATGTTATGAATATAATGTTTTCTAACTCCTCCCACCACAACCAACAGCTACGACTACTAGTACTACTACTACTACTAGAGTTACCCTATCAGCAGTATCCAAGACAATTGTCCTTTTAGAACAAGATAATGCTACTAGTGCTAGCAGTGGTGAATATTGATCCAATTCAAACAACAAAGTAGTAGTCTAGTAGTATCCTAGTAGTTGCCTTGCTGCTGTTAGGAATTAGATAGCATCTAGTAAAAAATCTCAATATTGTATTTAACCTTACCAACTAGAAGAGGCACTATATTGCTAGAACCATAACTCCTTGGGAGAAGAATCCTCCAAGTTGCTTCAAGGGGCAGCATCTCTCRCTGAGGAGTGGTTGTGGAGGCGCAACCAGGGTAATCTGCAAAGAATATTTTGGTTTTGCATGGTGAAGATAGTGTTTTAGCGATAATATGACTAAATCAGTTTGTAGGCAGTAGGCTTTAGGCTTTCTTACTAGGCTTTTAACAGTCAACACATTTTATCAAATTAACTGGTACAATATCTGGGCCCTCCGGAACTAATGCACAAGCATCCCCCCTTTGAAATCGAACATCRGGGCATGATTTTGTGGCTTATTTTTCCCATGCTGAAATAACCCATGGTGTTTTAAAAACATGGGTTATTTTTCATAGAAGAATTACCCATGTTTTAAAATGTGGGTTCCTGGGTGCTGAACCCATGAATACTAACCCATGAATAAACCACAAATRATCCACAAGAAATAACCCATAAACCTGCTGGGCCTATTTTCAAAAATTAAAAACAGTGATTAGTACTAGTACATAACATTAATGACTGAAATACTTAACATCCTTGGTTCTCCATCAACCCAGATGGCTGTAAATTTGTGGGTTATTTGTGGGTTGTTTGTGCAGTGGGTTATTCAT